CGACGACCATCCGCGCGTCTACGTGTGCCTCTATAGGTCCCATAGCGGTAATGCCGAAACAGACCGACTCTTTGACCACGTCCAAATGGCTACAGATTCCTTGCTACCACAGGTCCCATCCGCAGAGATCGTGATCCTTGGCGATTTTAACGCCCACCACGCCGAATGGCTCGGTTCACGTTTAACCGATCATGCGGGGAGATCTGTTTATGACTTTGCCTTGGCATATGGTCTTACACAACTGGTTACATCGCCTACGCGGATTCCAGATATTGAGGATCATACACCTTCCCTGTTGGACCTTCTGCTGACCTCTCATCCGGACGGATATCAGGTTTCCGTCGATGCCCCTCTTGGCTCTTCGGACCATTGTCTTATCTGGAGTGTGGTGCCACTCACGCTCCCTTCGCGGTTGCGTTCTGCAGGTTGCCGCCGTGTTTGGCATTACAGGTCGGCGCATTGGGACGGAATGCGGTCTTTCTTTGCTTCCTACCCATGGGGGCGGGTTTGCTTCTCGCCGGATGTTCCCAGCGCTGTTGCTGACTCTGTCACTGATGTGGTGCTACAGGGAATGGAACTATTTATTCCATCATTTGTGGTACCCATCGGAGGCAGATCTCAGCCTTGGTTTGGTCGATAACACTCCTGTTTACTGCTTTACGCAGTAAACAGGAGTGTTATCAAGCCTGGGCTGCGGCTTCGGCAACTCAGGATGTAAACACCAGCATAATTAAAAAGAAGTATAACTTCGCCTCCAGGTCCTTCAAAAGAGTTATTACCAAGGCAAAGTCAGAGCACATAGGCAGAATTGGCGAGAAACTAGTTCACCTTCCTTCGGAAACCCGTGCATTCTGGTCTCTCGCCAAGGCTGTCCAAGGGAATTTCTGTAAGTCATCACTACCATCTCTGCACGGGGAGGACCACTCACTGGCCCACGACGCAATAGAGAAGGCCGACCTGTTAGGCTCCCTTTTTGCGTCCAACTGGACTGTTGATGACGGGGGGAACACACCGCCGACCATCCCGCGGTGTGAGTGCTCCATGCCGGATGTGCGGTTCTCACAGCGCTCGGTTCGCAGAGCACTCCTCTCCCTTGACATCCACAAGTCGAGTGGGCCTGACGGAATCCCCCCAATTGTGCTGAGGACGTGTGCTCCGGAGTTGGCACCGGTTCTAACGCGTCTTTTCCGGTACTCCTACTCCCTAGGCGTAGTCCCGAAATCATGGAAGACAGATTTTGTCCACCCGATCCCTAAAAAAGGCGACCGCTAAGACCCGTATAACTACAGGCCTATCGCCATCACCCCCTTGTTCTCCAAAATAATGGAATCCGTTATAAACTGCCACCTCATGCGGTACCTTGAGGATCACCAGCTGATTAGTGACCACCAGTACGGTTTTCGTCGGGGTCGATCAGCTGGTGATCTTCTGGTCTACTTAACTCATAGATGGGCGGAGGCAGTAGAGTCCAAGGGGGAGGCGTTGGCCGTTAGTCTGGACATTGCGAAGGCCTTCGATCGGGTTCGGCACAAAGCGCTTCTTTCGAAGCTCCCTTGCTATGGGCTTCCCGAGAAATTATGCAATTGGATCACCAGCTTTCTTGCAGATCGGAGCATCAAGGTCGTTGTAGACGGTGCATGCTCCGACTACAAGCCTATTAATGTTGGTGTTCCACAAGGCTGCGTGCTATCACCAACGCTGTTTCTTCTGCATATCAATGATATTTTGCAAGCCGGTAGCATTCATTGCTATGCGGATGACAGCACTGGTGATGCTCTATACACCGGCCGTGCCAATATTTCTCGGGAAAACGTCGCTGAGTACCGGAACAAACTTGTGTCTGAAGTCGAGTCTGCTGGACAAAGTCTCGGATTGGGGGCGACTAAATCTAGTCCAGTTTAATCCTCAGAAGACACAAGTATGCGCGTTTACCGCTAAAAAGAACCCCTTTGTCGTATCTCCTCAGTTTCAAGGTACTCCCCTTGTTGCCTCAGCCAGTATCGGAATCCTCGGCGTCGACATATCGAGGGACGTGCAGTTTCGTGGTCACTTGGAAGAGAAGGCCAAATTGGCCTCTAAAAAGCTTGGCGTGCTCAGCAGAGCGGGACAGTATTTCATGCCGGCTCAACGCCTGCAACTTTACAAAGCGCAGGTTCGGCCTCACATGGAATACTATTCCCATCTCTGGGCTGGGGCTCCCCAGTGCCAGCTCCTTCCACTTGACCGCATCCAGCGCAGAGCGGTTCGAATCGTCGACGACCGAGTCCTTTCCGATCGGCTCGACTCATTGGCACTGCGAAGAGATGTTGCATCTCTTTGCATTTTCTTTCGCATCTACCATGGGGAGTGCTCTGAGGAATTGTTCGGATTAATTCCAGCCGCCAAATTTCACGAACGCACATCGCGGCAGAACTCCCGATACCATCCACACAATCTGGATGATTGGCGGTCCACCACTGTGCGATTTAGAAGATGTTTTATTCCTCGCACAACTTCCTACTCCTTTTTAAAAGGCCGGCAACGCATCTGCAATTCCCCTGGTGTTGCGGTTGTTCATGGGCGGCGGTAGTCACTTACCATCAGGTGAGCCGCATGCTCGTTTGCCTCCTCTCCTATAAAAAAATAAAAAATACCTAATGCAATGTCAATAAAAGCTAATTACAATCCTTATATGCCCATAATTAAAATTACATCTTAAATGAGTATCTTTAATGAGTGAGTAGTTGTATTAAACAGTACATAGTCAAGGAAATTAAATTGTCGAATTATTAATTGTCATTTCGTCGATAATTTTATAAAAAGAGCAAACGTATTACACTGTCTGCAAATAAGTCAATTTCATCGTGTTAAGTGAGTATGTCCCCTATAATGTTCGATTTGTTGGTGTAAAAACAGCACGTTTGGTACGTGTAACTGGTCTATCTAGAAGACGCGGCCTACAGCGTGGAGCCACTTTTCCTCCATTATCTCTCTGCTGGTACCAACAAACCGATTCTCTCCATAACCAACTGGCAATCCAACTTGTGGTTAATTATAGAAAGATATTACTTAATAGTTGACATCACCCTCCTAAACATTAGGGTTTCAAAATCAACCATACCCAAGACGAATAAAGAAGGATACAAATAAGGGTAGTACCCATGATTCTTCTTATAAAGCCAACGAGCAAATTTACGTTGTATCCTCTCTAACAAGAGAGTTTACTTTTTCTCGTAAGTATTCCAGACCGCAGCTGCATACTCTAGTTTACTTCGAACAATTGCATTATACAAAGTTTTAGCCACCCTTATATCATCAAATTCAGCAGCAGTCTTCATCACAAACCCAAAGTCTTACTAGCTAACTTGCAATTGGTTATCATTTGATTTTGAAAATTTAATTTAGTATCTAATATTAAACCTAAGTCACGTATGTCATATACTTTTACCAAAGGCTGTCACATAAATTATAATTAATAATGACAGGATTCTGTTTTAATGCAATAGTATCACCTTACATTTAGTCTCATTAAGAGGAAGATGTTTCATTTTACTCCATTCCGATACCGCATCTATGTTCTGTCTCTGTGTCCTGTTGAAGAGCCTGTGCATCAGCAGCACCACCAATCCCCAAGCTTAATTTTAGGTCATCTGCGAATAACAGACACTTCGAAGATTTTACTTTAGTAGGCAAGTCATTTATAAAAATTATAAACAGCGTAGGGCCAAGAGTACTACAGTGACTCAAATTAGATCTAGTGAAATAATCAGCGGATTCAAGACCACTCACTCTAACAAATTGACGACGATTATCCAAATAGCTAACAAAGAGTTGACGAAGTTTCGGAGTAATACCCAACTTAGCTAGTTTCTGTAAAAGTATGTCATTACTCACTAGGTCAAAAGCCTTCCTAAAATCAAAATAGGTGGCGTCTATCTGTCTCCTAGAATCCACCTCTGCACAGACATAGTCCTCGTGTGCTATCAAGTTAGTATTCGTTGAACGATCTAACTGTTTGATAATGTGAAAATGCTTCAAATATCTTCGCCAGAAAGTCTAGGTCTAAAAGCAGAAACATCTTTTCCAGTTGTTCCAGTTGTTCTCGATATTTAGCCTGTCTTATTGTGGCAGATTGTGGCTTTAGGCATCTTATTGCCAATCTAAAATTTCTTTCGTCTACTTGCTTGACTGAGATGGGCATCAAGTTAAATTGTGAAATAGCATTTTCGGCATCTACATAATTTAATAGGGGCTTTTCATAATGGAACACAACAAAAATATTTAACAAAGGCGTTAGGCGCATCTTGACCTGTTACTTCTTTACCTTATACTTATACTATAAGTTTCAGTATATCTTTTTCTTTCTTTTTATCACTAACATATTTCTAAAAAAACACCCGATTGTCAACTATGCTTTCCTGTAACCACTTAAGATGCTGCTCATATGCGTTGTGATTTAAGGTTTTAACCACCCAATGATAAAAGCTAATTAGTTCTTTGTTAAATAATTTGCCTTTTTGCTTAAATCTGTTAAGATGAAAGTATTTTTCAAATATTTATTATAATCTCAGGCGTGAACCACTTCGGATTCTTACAATTTGTTGTAAAAAAAAAATTACGTCTGTAAAAGTCATTAACTCTGATCAATCTCACGCAGTATAGCATAGCATAGCAGCTCTGAGTACTTAGTTGGAATACCTCATAGCTTGTAAATAAACTGGCTCCCAATATCTTTCAGACCGGTATACAGCAATGCAAGCACTATTATTTGACAATAAAAATAGATGAGAGGGTGATATCTACCCAGACGATTTCTTAGGCAGCCACCACCTAGACTACCACCACCTAGAATTGTATAAATATTTTAAGTATAAAGGTATTTTAATAAATAAAGTGTTAACAGAATAGTGAAAATTTTTAAGACATTCCCGTGAATACGATTTAAATAGCGCACTGTTTTTCAGTACCGAACACAAAGTGAAAACGATATATATAAAAGGTAGTATAACTAAGCTATTTGTACAAGCGCCAGAAGTGTCGCGTACGGTCGTGATAAATCTCATCCAAGGCCACCTGCGGACCCGCACAAATGCAGACATTTGTCATGAAATATTATGTAATTACTTACTTGTTAGGGTTGTATTTCTACAATGTAGGTAAGTAATTTTTCTCATTCATTAACAATACAAATTTTAAATCAGCTTTTTTCAATTTGGTTAAAATATCTATATATAGTTTTTTTATGGTCAGGGTATATGAATAATTGCATTTTTTAATTTCATTAATTTCATTTAACAGTGGTAGAGCCACGCGGCAGCATTTGCTGTCACACGGATGGGCCAGCTCGAACCGGGGTGGTAACACGAATGTGGTACTCACAGAATACCAGCGTGAAGTAGAGGTTTACCTCTGCGTTTCGCTCGGTGAGTGCAGGTGGCCGGAGGCCCTTTTTACTGGAAATGAGGCATTCCATCTTAGTCCTCACGGGTGACAACGCATCTACATTTTGATTTGTAATAGAGGATAGATGTAGATGTCTATGGGCCGCAGCAACCACTTACCATCAGGTGGACTGTGTGCTCGTTTGTCACCCTTATCCTATAAAAAAAAAATTTTTTTTTTCTAATTCTTAGACATAAGTACTATGTGTATATAATTATTGTAGGTACTAGTTACAGTGTACTTTTACTGTATTTAAACAAGAAATTATAATTATATTGTTTTTAAAATTATTATTTCAATAAGTCTGTGTGTAATTTCCCGTCGCAGAAAGTATGTAAAATTTTTGGAATTTTTCCCCATTTTTGAGCTAAACAACACTTTATCAACGCTTTCAAGTCATCTTTCTCGGAATTTTCATTGAATGTACAAATACGTTCGTATCGATATATTTTATGTTTATTCGTAGTGGGCCATGCTGTAGTTATGTTATGGTTGTAGCACCAATGGGTCAGCTTGATCAGGGAACAACCTAACCCTAACAGAATACTGCGTGAAATAGCAGTTTAATGCTGCTGTGGTTCGTATGGTGAGCGTAGAGAACCAAAGAAGCTTATTACTGGAAATAAGGCATTTCATCTTAGTGCTCAAAGATGACAACGTATGTGCAATTTGATTTATAATCCAGGAAATATGTAGATGTCCACTTACCATCTGCTGGATTAACTTTTTTTATAGAATAAGGGTGACAAACGGGCACGCAGTCCACCTGATGGTAAGTGGTAGCTGTGGCCCATAGAAATCTACATCTATCCTCGTTTGCAAATCAAAATGCAAATGCGTTGTCACCCGTGAGGACTAAGATGGAATGCCTCTTTTCCAGTAAAATGGGTCTCCGGTTTTCTACACCCACCATACAAAACACAGCAGCATTAAGCTGCTATTTTACGCTGGTATTCTGTGAGTGTGAACTTCTTGAATTGCTAACTTTGTATATCATATATCACCGAATTAGTATCGGATGAGACTTTCTTTTGGTTTCTGCCTCACTTAGGAGTGACCGCAACGACAATGGCTACAGCTATCTGTAAAATCACTCAATAAAACTATAAATCTTTGGTCCCCGGAAATGTCACTGCGACATTCATCCCCCATTTAAATATTCTCCTGTAAAAGATGTAAAGTATGAAGTGCGTACTTATAATCTTTTGTATTTATAATTCTTATATCATTTAATATGTATTACTTATATTATCTAAATATACAAAAATATTATGTTTACAAGCGCACGTACAAAATTGTTATTAGACACTTCGCTTCGTATAAAATTGAAGTGAAAATCGAAGTTACCTTTGACCTGATTGTAAGTGGCTACTACAGCCTGCAGCATAAACACCAGTATCTAATTATTTGCGTACAATTAGCAACTGAATTGATCTCTAAATAGTTTCAAAGTGGAAAATAATTGGGATTTAAAAATACGAATTTTCACCCAAAAATTTTAAACTCATTTAGATTAATGTTATAAACCTGTCCGATAAGCAGAATGAGTTTTCGCCGCTGGGAATAGCGGTAGTTTGGCCTGGAGAAATTCATTTAATTTTATGGTGCAGTTTACATTGTTATAGCACCAAGATATACGACATTTTATTTTTAAGTATTATAAAAATCGTTTAAGTATCGCAAATATGCATGAAAGATAATGAAACATGCTTTTTTATAGATTAAGCGTAATATAGTAGCTTATTGAGAGGCATTCCATCTAAGTCTTATTAAGTTCTAAGGGGTGCATCTGTATTTTGACTCTTAATTGAGGATAGATGTATATTATAAGAGAATATACCTATGGGCCACAGCATCCACTTACCATCAGGCATACTGTATACTCGTTTGTTACCCTTCTAAATAAAAATATTGCGCAGGTGTCTTTGAAAGTCAAAATAATATTATTTCTGCATGTGGGACCGAAAGCTACGCTGCAGCTTTATTATAGTCTGACATGAATGTGTTAGTTTGACTGGGAATAATCACGCTCTGACAGAATACCAGGGAAAAATAGCAGCTCTAATTGTGTTTCGTATGGTAAGTGACGGGAACCTGGGGCTCTTTTTTGATAACGACACATCTGCTGGCAGTACTCTGGGTTGGTATTTTGGTTCCTAATCACGGAAAGTAGATCACAAAAGATTTATGTGGACAGTATCCACTCACTATCAGGTAGAAAGTGTGTTTGTTGGCAACCTTTATTCTATAAAATATCCTTTCATTATTAAGGTATGCTATACATAATCATGGTGACTTTCATTAGCATATCATGTTATTTTAAACACGTTTAGTAACACGTTGTTAGGCAAGATATTTCTCAGTTAAATTTTCAACAGCTTTATGATAATTCTTTAATAACGCCGCGCTGTATTATGTTAGGATAACTTTAAAGAAACTTTACTTTAGTTCAGTCATTAGTACAGCTTAACTTTAAGATCTCGTATTGTAGTAGTAACGTAGAGACGAGGCGAGCAGTCTTTGTTTTATTGCTGCTATATCGGCACCAATGAAATTGATAATTCCAAAGTGTAGTTCTGCAACTAGGTAAAAACCTACATGATATATGTAAAATATGTAAGTGCTGTAAGAGGCAACTGAGTGAAAAGAAACAGGAAATGGGCAGTTTCTGATAACAACATAAAATAGTAAAAAAAGTGCGGTTGTAAATTGAGGCGCCAAGCATGGCATCTATGGTAAATATCCCCTCTATGAGGCCATCTACGGGGACGGCATATGTTCAACAATGGCCTTTTGATTGGCTGTATTAGTAATAACGATGATGAAGAAAATATGCTACTTCACTGGGGGTATATGTTATTATATGGTATTGTATGTAGTATTTTTAATAGTGGTAGAGCCACCCGGTAGGTTTTGCTGTCGCACGGATGGGCTGGCTCGAACCGGGGTGTTACCACGACCTCACAGAATACCAGCGTGAAGTAGAAGTCTACTTCTGCATTTCAGTGAGTGCAGGTGGCCGAAGACCCAATTCCCCCCGCCCCCTCAACATGGTCGCGGAATTAAATGTAACACTACCCCAGGAGGGTACCAGCATCCCTGTAGAATCCATCGCTGAGCCACGCCCAAGCTACCCTACTTTTTCTGAGCATAGGGGCTCAGGCTGCCCCACAATTCTGGGGGGGAGGGGCTAAATTCCGTTCAAAAGGAAAACTGCTCGGGGCAAACTGAGCAACAATACCAAGGCGAGCCTTGCCACGTTATCCGTGAATTTCTGCAATATCAGGAGACTTCACTTGAACTTAAACGCAGTCCAGTCTTTTTGCTTCCAACTCGACTCGATGTTGACGGAGATAATGGGGAGAACACACCGCCGACCATCCCGCGGTATGAATGCTCCATGCAGGGAGTGCTGTTTACAGAGCGCTTGGTGCGTAAAGCACTCTTCTCCTTGGACTTCAACAAGTCGAGTGGCCCTGATGGAGTCTCACCTATTGTGCTGAAGACGTGTGCTTCAGAGTTGGCAGCGGTTTTAACGTGTCTTTCCGGTACTTTTTTTTTTATCGTGGGGAAATCCTCATGGATACCTTCTGTTGCGGGGGCAACGGAAAGGTTATGCCGGACTCCTACCGGCCAAAACCCCACGGTGGTCTCCATCAGCGTATATGAGGGGTCCCAGGATCTCCGTTCGGAACGCAACCGGGGCCCCTCTCACGCTTTGCTCTATTAAAGCACGTCCCGGGGGCAGTCCTTACTACATACCCCAGCACTCGCAATGCTATCACGGTGCTCCAGACCACTTTCAAGTCACCGTCCTCCTCAGGTGTTACATCACTAGACGCTCGGGGCCCCCGCCCCGAGTGCCCGTAACCCCCGAGGCCCCGTTTCTGGTAGGGGAACACCATCATCAAGGGGAGGGCCCTGACGAACGCCTTGGCGGCGTCGTCTTCGAGTGGGATCTGTCCTCTCCCGATACCGCTCAGCAGCCTCCTTCTGGATCATAACGGATTCACAGAAGGTGGCTACGGCCCTCCACGCGGAGTCCCTGCTCAGCATCGCCGACACGACTGCCGGCAGGGAGAGGATCTGACCGATCCGGCTTACCAGGACCATCCGCTCCCGTTCCCACGCTGGGTATGTTGCCTGCGTATGGGATGCGGTGTCCTGTACCTGCCCACCGCAGTGCAAACAGTTCGCCGTCGCTTCCCGTCCAATCTTACACAAATAATCACCGAAGCACCCGTGCCCGGTCATTATTTGTGTAAGTCTGTAGGTAAGTCGTCGTGTTCTTCGATGCATCCAGGCTTTAAAGTGCGGCAGGATTGCTCCAACAACGCGTTTACACGCATAACGCTCTTCAGAGAGGCGAGCGCGCCACGTTTCGAATGCGTTAATTCGTTCCTGCCGCTTGACCCTTTCCAACACCTCATCTGGCATACTGGTCTACTTCTGCATTTCAGTGAGTGCAGGTGGCCGGAGACCCAATTCCCCCCGCCCCCTCAACATGGTCGCGGAATTAAATTTAACACTACCCCAGGAGGGTACCAGCATTCCTGGAGAATCCATCGCTGAGCCACGCCCAGGCTACCCTACTTTTTCTGAGCATAGGGGATCAGGCTGCCCCACAATTCTGGGGGGGAGGGGCTAAATTCCGTTCAAAACGAAACCTGCTCGGGGCAAACTGAGCAACAATACCAAGGCGAGCCTTGCCACG